AGTTTTTTGCCAAACAAGATGGGTCTTATAAATATTTTCATAAAAGAAAAATAATAAACATTTCGATTGAGGGAATGATGTTGAAAATAATAAATATTTAAAAAATACAATCTCATGTTTATTTTTTTTTAGGGGTTAATTGTAATACATTATGAAATAAGGGGAAATTATGTTAAATATAAGTTGTATTGGATTGTGAAAGGAAATTACAGGTTAAAGCACGCGGGTTTATTCACGAGTCAAGTTATATCCGGATCCGGTTCACATTCGTGAACTGAGGTATAAAGTTAGAGAGAGGGTGAAGGAGTTCATTATTCATTCTGACATTTTTCATATCAGATCAAATTGTTAGGGTTTTCTCTCATGTTATCCCTCTCATTTTCTCATCTGTTAAATTAGGGTTTATACTCAAATTTTTGTATATACGAATGTTAGATGTGTTTGTATGATAGTTGTAGATTAGGATGAGTGATAAATTTGGAAAGTAAATTAGGGTTTTTGTAGTGAGTTTTGCATTGTAAGTAGGGAAAACTGCAATAAAGTATTGGTCCCATAATCGATTTAGTCCATATATATATTTTTTTATTCAATTAAGTCTCAAATACCGGTAATCGCTTTCAATTTAACCCCTTGACCCGGTCAACAGGTCATCCAACTTTCAAAAATTACATTTTTGGCCCAGATTTCAAAGTTTATTACAAATTTGTTCCAAAATTTACACTTTTGGCCCAAATTTTAAATTTTGTTACAAATTTGGTCCAAACTTTACCATTTTTGCCGGAATTTTAGATATTTATTATGAATTTATCCTAACTTTAGTTTTTTTTTTTTTACAACTTTTTTTTCCTTAAAGAAATGTTTCTAATATGTTTTTTCTTTATAAAATCATATTTATACCAAAAAAACACGTAATTTCAAATAAAAATCTTATATTTTCTATATAAGAATTTTTTTGTATATGAAATATCTAGTTATAGAAATATGTATTTATTAAGTATATAAATATATACAAATCCGTTTTTATAAAAAAAATGTATACAAAAACATATTTTACAATATATATATATATATATATATATATATATATATATATATATATATATATATATATATATAACACCTATTTTTTCTATATATATTTTTTATAAAATCGTGTTTGTTTACATTTTTTTTATAAAAACATGTTTGAATAATTTTTTATATAATATGTGTTTGTACACATTTTATAAAATGTATACAAACACAATTTTATAAAACATATACAAAGACGTATTATATAAAAAAATATTCAAACACGTTTTCATAAAATGTATAAAAAGACGATTTTATAAAATGTATACAAACACGTATTATATAAAAAATTATTCAAACACGTGTTTATAAAAAAATATAAACAAACACGATTTTAACAAAAAATTTAGATACACACACACACACACACACATATATATATATATATATATATATATATATATATATATATATATATATATATATATATATATATATATATAGGTGATAGGTGTTTGTATATATTTAGATACTTAATAAATACCTTTTTTTATAACTAGATATTTCGTATACAAAAAACTTTTATAAAAGCTTTTATATAGAAAATATAAGATTTTTATGTGAAATTTTTTTTTTATAAATATGATTTTATAAAGAAAAAACATATTAGAAACAATTCTTTGAGAAAAAATGTTGTAAAAAAAAAAAAACTAAAGTTAGGATAAATTTATAAAAAAAAAATCTAAATTTTAGGCAAAAAAGGTAAAGTTGGGACCAAATTTGTAACAAAATTTGAAATCTAGGCCAAAAGTGTAAATTTTGCACCAAATTTGTAATAAATTTTGAAATCTGGGTCAAAAATGTAATTTTTAAAAATTGGATGACTTTTTGACTGGGTCAACGGGTTAAATTGAATATGTATTACCGGTATTTGGGACTTAATTGAATAAAAATATATATAGGAAGTAAATCGATTATAAGACAAATATGTAGGGATTTTCTTACGGTTTTCCCTTGTAAGTATCTTGAAAACCTTTTGTTTCTTAATCATCAAATGATATAAGAAATGATGATGTTGGGAATGTTTGATTTGTCTATTTTAACACATAAGTTAAAAATGGATGAAGCAACTCTTCCGGCTACTGCTCCTCCTTCTTCGTCTCGGTTACCATCAATCACTAATATCTTTAATTTTGTTTCTCTCAAACTGAATGAAAACAATTATTTGGTTTGGAAACATCAGATTTCATCTGTTTTTGAGTCACTTGATCTAATACGATTCATTGATGGAACGGCTCTACAGTCTTCTATAAATAGCACAAAGTATAAGACATGGAATATGTAACATCCGGAATTCCAGGTATTATATTTATTCATTTTATTTTGAGTTTTGTGGAAGAACTCGGCGAGTTGGTGCGTAGACTCGCCGAGTAGAGACACGATTTCTCATCCGGATTAATGACCGGACTCAACGAGTCGCATTGGTGGACTTGGCGAGTCCGTGCTGTTTAATGAAACCCTAATTTCACGGGTTTTGGCCTATTTAAAGGGCCTTATGGTCGTCATTTGTGCTCACTAGTCCCCAGAGCGAAACCCTAGTGAGCTTGAGCGTTTGGAGTGAGAGAAGGAGCCATTGTTAACCTTGGTGGTGTTGTCTAGCAAGGGAAAGGAAGCTATAACCAAGAGGAAGCAAGAGGGTTAACTTCCTGAAGATTTGAGGTCCAGAACATCACGTTTGAGGTACCATTTTTGAACCCTTTTCTGTTAAGGTGATGTTCATGTTGATTTAGGGCTTATTGAGCCCTTTTGTGGCTAGATCTAGTACTCCCATGGTCCCTTAAGCGAGTTAGGTTCTAGATCTGGACCCTTGGAGGTCCAGAGTGTCCCTTTGTCCAAGCTTTTTATGAATCCATGGAGGTTTTGGTTTGGGATCTTTGTGCTTGAGGTCAAAACACCATTTATGAGTCATTAGGTGTGATATGAGCGCCAAGAAATGAACTTTACGTGATAAATAAGCTTGGAGGGACTGGATCTATGAGTTAATGGAACAGATCTGACCTCAGAAGGTCGTTTGGGGTTGTGCATGGAATGCACTCGCCGAGTCCATTGGCAAACTCGACGAGTTGGTGCAGGTTGTTTAGGGATTTCGAACCAGGGGTTGAGTAACCGAGTTGGGTGAGTGACTCGGTGAGTCGGAAGGGACTCAGAGGAATCGGGTCCCCATAGAGACTCGGCGAGTCCACGCCAGACTCGACGAGTTGGGTTGACCGTTGACCATTGACCGGAGTTGACCGGTGTTGACTTGATAGGGTTAGTCAACCTTAGTTGGGAAAGTGTTAATTAGAAATGTATTGTGTTATAGGAGGACTAAAGCTCGAGAGATCGAGCACTAGTGATTTTAGGGATTTACGAGTTACCGAGATACGCAAGGTGAGTGTTTTCACTATACTTTACCTTGAGTAGGTAAATAGAGTTATGTGATACAATGTTTTATATATATTGTTTGTTGCGCTACATTCTTCTATGTGATTTATGATGTGCATGCTTGCAGAGTTAGAATCTGAGGGTTCACAGAGTTTTGGGTGCACGGACCCACAGAGTTATAGGCTCGAGTGGCTAATATGTGTTATATGTGGTATTTTGGGGAACTCACTAAGCTTTGTGCTTACAGTGTTTTGTGTTATGTGTTTCAGGTACTAGTGAGGATCGCAGGAAGGCGTCGGCTTGATCAGTACACACACGAGATTTTGATGATATGAGATCTTGGGATTTTTATATGTTATAAATTGAGTTTCAAACAATGATGTTTTTATGATTTACAAATGAATTATGTTTTTATAAATGCGAAAAATTGTTTTGAAAATTTACGGTGTTACAGAATAAATTGATCAAAATATGTTGGAATTTGTATAAATGCAACCTTGAGTTCGTCAATAGCTCATGTTGCAGTGGGTACAAAAACAACTTATGAGTTGTGGAGGAAGTTACGGTGCTTATTTGCACGACAAATCTCTACTAAAAGAATTCAACTTCAAACAAGGTTTCATCAAAGCAAACAAGGCACATGGAATTATGAATATTGCAGTGAAATTAGTACTATTTCAACTTCGTCTGTTTATGTGTTTGTATTATTTTTGTACATGGTGAACACGAACAAAATGTGGTTTGTATTCGTTTGGTTCGTTACAAAGTATTGCACTATTGCTGAAGACTTTTCAGAGCAATTAATGCTCTCGAGTCTTGTCCATTAATACAAATATATTATTATTATTCTTTGTTGACAACTGACATATGTAAAAGGAGTATGAAAGTTGACCGATCATTTAATACATGTTATATTCATAAATATGAGAAAATAAATAAAATAATTTCTTAATATGGTAGTATATGTTTAAATTAGAAATTGAGTGTAACTCAGTTAGTTCTGTTTGTTTTCCGAGCAACATTTTGTTTTGCTTATCAATATAAAAAATGTGTAAAGCATGTTTTAATTTATTGTAAATTAATAAAAACATGTGTTTCACGTGTTTGAACTCCCCATCATACTTTCTTTAAACAAAATATAAATAAATACAAGACAAAATTGCAAAAATGGTCCCTGTGGTATGCAAATTTCTGGGGTTTTGGTCCAAACAGTGATTTTTTTGGATTCGTGGTCCTTTTGGGCTAGTTTCATTGTAAAACTGGTCCCCGATAAACTTGAAAAGACGACTTTGCCCTTTTAATTTGTTTTTTCCATTTACTTAATTATTTTTTTCTTTTATTTAAATATAAATGTTAAATTAAATCAAATGGGACCCACCTGTCTTCTCTCTCTCTCTCTCTCTCTCTCTCTCTCTCTCTCTCTCTCTCTCGTTCCTTCCTTCAGTCATGGCTTCTCGTTTTTCTTCACCACCGGCCACCGGAGCTTCCTTCTCCTTCCTCCTCCGGCCGATCAACACCACCCAAACACCCCTAAAGATCATCCGCTCCCCCTTCGTGTGTTGCTACTAGCGCCAAAGCAAAAGAACCAAGGAGGGCTCGCCAGAGATCGGCTGCCCCAAAAAAACCCCAAAAACCCACTTCCCCCCACCCGTTCTTTTTTCTTCTTCCTTACCAGCACCACCATTCTTGAACATTCTATATGTTTCTTTCTTACCTGCACCACCATTCTCCAACTCGTGATTTACAGACTCGTCTTCAACACACAAGAAAAAAATCGAGACCTTCGTCTCTCGATTCAACTGGTGAAACAGATTAAAGGGAAACGACCAATCTACACGGAATGAGGGGATGGATGGCTTACCAGCAACGGCAGCAGCAGCAGACGGCGGTGGCTGCAGGATGTCGGTGGCAGCAGTAGCGAATGACAGCGATTTGCGGTGGCGTGTGGCAGGGGGCTGCTTTGACGGCCTTCTGTCGCTTCGCTTCTGTTTGAATTAGATGGAGACATGAGTGGACGAGGAGGGGGAACTCGGTGGTGGTCGAAATCAATAGTGGTGGTGGTTGTGGGTGGTTTTCTCGCCGATGAAGATGGTGGATGGCGGTTTCCGACCTTCCTTGCAACATAAATGGTGGTGGTGGTTGATTATCTGAACAGGAGGAGGGGTGGACTTTGTAGAGAGAGAGAGAGAGAGAGAGGAGAGAGAGAGAGAGAGAGAGAGAGAGAGGTGGGCCCTCTCATTTTTTAATAATTAAATTAATAATTAAAATGAATAAATAATCATTAAATTAAAAAAAATGAATTTAAAAATTGAAAATAAATACCCCAAGGGTATTACAGTCATTTCACTATTCAGAGGGACCAAAAACGCAATGAAACTAGCCCAAAAGGACCACGAATCCAAAAAAGTCACTGTTTGGACCAAAACCCCAGAAATTTGCATACCACAGGGACCATTTTTGCAGTTAACTCTAAATACAATAATTAAGAAGTATTTTATGAGTTTTAAATTTTTAAGTCTAAAAAATCTTCCATTCATCTCAAATTCCAAAGTGAACAATGATGCAAAATCTTTACTTGTATATCTTACAACAGAAAAGTAGTTTCAAAGGGGGTGTGATTTCGAAGAAAAACACACTCACACACAGTGATACATTTCGCAAATAACAAAATAACTAGTTGAATCACACTTGCGCCCAGATCAAAACGGAGTGATCATTCAAGTTTCTGGCATCTAACCTCCTGTGTTCATCCTCACTGTGTATCCAGAGCTTCCAATACCTCGCGAGATCAACCATCACGAACACATAGAACAAAAACAAACTAAACACCACCACAACGGAATACAGAGCCACCGTCGTCGGCGGAGGGAAAAAATCCGCAAACGGATAAACAAATCCAAACGAAATAGCCGTGTATAGAAACCACATATTCAATTTCAGCACAAATTTCTGGCTCGATTTCTCGTTTTCAGGCATGGATCGGTATCTAGATAGACAGAATTTCAACAAAACGAAACATAAAAAAACCGATGCACAGAGAAGCGCCGTTGAGTATTCGTTGCGGCCGATGGCTTTGGCGATTGTAGCGACGGTGTTAGGCATCATGATGACGAAGTAGAACGGAAACCACCGTTCATCGTCGTTATCGTCGGCGATTTTGTGAGGATCTGTTCGGATTCTGCTGTGAGGCATTAAGGTTACCTTCTTACGAATATGCATTTGGATTCCCATAAGGAGATGAGAGTGTGAATTGTGTGTGTTTGCTTTGTAGAATTATTGATCGATGTTGGGGAAGTGTGTGAAATAGAGTGGTGTTGGTAGGGTTTATATAACATGAATATTGATTGGACAGGAAAAAGGGCAGCGAGTGGGAAAATATACGTGTGAGGTTTCGTAGTAACTTGAGCGCGTCTTCGTAGAAGCTAAAAGGAAACAATAAAAAAAAAATGTAAATTTACTAGTGTATGATAAAAGTATTAGTATTTAATATAGAACAAATTATATGTTTGGTCCTGGACGTTTGTTCAGAATAACAATTTTAGTCCAAACTTGACTATTGTTGTAAGTATTGTCCTTATTTAAAACTAGATTAGCCGTTTTAGTCCCCTCATGTGAATATAGTTTCGTATTTTCACATTAACTTGTCATTTTCTTCTTCAAGATTACAAAAAAGGACAATATTCCACCACCATCGATCGATGTCCAAATCTAAATCAAAATCTAATGGAAACCAAAATCAAATAAATATACCAAACAAAACCAAAATCACATACAAATCTTCATTTTAAACATAAATTTAAATAAAAATCTACATATTAAGACAACAATGATCATGATGTTCTTGATTGAAACCAAAATTTTTAATTTGATGATATTAAACCTATAAATTAAATCTTTGATTAAAATTATGAACCCAAACCATACACCCAAATGTATATACAAATAAATATATATAATGGTGAGCTATTGTCTATCATCCATAATAAATTGAAACTTGATTAGCATGATGAAACTTGAAACTTGATTAACATATAATATACTTGACTGAAACCTATTTGTTACAACGAAAAAGGGCATTGCCTTACCACAAAACATTTACCATGCACTACAACAACTACTATTTTCTACCATTCATAATATACATTATATCAACCAAAATATGAGCTACATTTACCATAATTTATTAACTAAAAAACTACATATACCAAAAATTATCCTACTTTACAATGACATCCACCAAAATTTAAGATACTTTATCAACCGTCATTCATCACAACTTATTCACCTTTACTAGCTTCACCATCTTCACCAGTGGCAGATCCAGAGATGATTGTAAGGGGTGCATAGTGTAAAACTACTATTAGTATGGGGGCCATTATCAATAATAATCATAACTTTTATATATAAAATTTAGTTAAAAAAGCATAGTAAGTGGGGTGTATGCACCCCAGTAAAGCTACTGATCTTCACAATGGTAATCACCACTAGACTGCCCTTTACCACCAAACTACCCCTGGGTCGTTATCACCATAATGCCCCTTTATTAGATTGTTACTTACATCCATATTGTTCTTCACCAGTTAGCCCATCACCACTACACTTTACTTCACCAAATTTCCCATACAAAAAAATGGCTTTGGAATTATCATGGTCTTATCAAGGTGCACTCTTTCATAGACAAAAACGGATTGGAAATCTTTTTAATCTTCGTCACGTATCTATGAGACATTCTTCATTGTTTGGTTATAGTCTTGATAAACATGTACTCCTTCGAAGGCAACAATGGATTATGAATTTTCATAATACTCATATGCTAATATTGACAAGTAAATGTCATATTATGGGTACTTCTGGACTTTATTGATTTTTGTAATAAAATGAGACATAAGAAAGATATATTTGTCATCCTCTTTAGCTATAAGCTCATTTTCCAAATCAACATGGGGCGTCATGGAATGATGAGAAAATGGTGCATTCGTATCATAATCATGGAAAAAAAAAGATCAGGTCTTAAATGTGAGACACATCTAAATAGTTTACTTCACCTTTAATGTAGCTTTTTGCATGGATGAGGGGAACATCCCGCCATAATTCAGATTTATGTTGAAGATGGTTTTATAATTCCCAATAAAAAAAGACTCAACTACATAAATAGAAATCTTATTAGACAAATAGAGATTAAAAATATAACACAAACATATAGCTAACAACATAGAATCAAAGCCAAAAAATATACAACATAGCTAATAACACATAACTAAAGCCATGATATAAAAAAAAATCAAATGTAATAGCATAGAATCAAAAGCTAGAATAAATATTACATACCATATATAATTAGACTTTGATGTCAACATGATAACACTTCTTCTACCCTACATTGTGAAAACATGTGTATTTGAGTTTACTGCTACTGAGTTGGATGAGCATTGATTTTGACTCAAGCTTTACTTTTTTTACTGAATTGAAAATAGAGAAACAAAGAGATAAATAGAACAACACGTTGTGGAAAATACCAAACTATCTTCATGTGCATGCCACATGACGGTTCTTGACAACAAGAAACAAAAGGTAGTTAGTGCGAAGGACCATATTTGCTAATTGAGATGGAAATATGAACCAAATTTGAAGCAATCACCAACATTGAAGTAAAGTTGTTATTTTGAACAAACCTCTAGGAGCAAATATGTAATTTACTCTTTAATATATTTGCAACGCTTTTCTATATTTTAGTTATCTTTCAAAAAATTATTATCACCGGAATGAAAGATTTGTTTTATATTTTCTCAGCAATTTCAACCCATTTACTATTTTTTTTTTTTTTTTTAATTACAACCTATTTACTTTTTTTTTTTTAATTACTTTTATCTTTTATATAAAAAGGTACCGAAAAACTTGAGAGCCTCTTCGACTCTTCGTATCATTTGTATGAATCACTTTCCTTTTATAATTACTGTGATTCTCATAGTGTAACTATGTCTATTTGAGTACTTTTGCCCGCGTTTTTTGGTCTCTTTTTCTTTATCCCAAATTTTAAACTTTTTTTTTTAGAAAATCTCTAAAGAAACGTTTATGTTTATTAAAAAATTTACTTTAATGACAAAAATATAAAACACGATCTCTTAATAGAGCGAAATACGCGGTTAGTAATAGTAGTAGAGTAGTTTTCTTAATCACATAGAAATGGCTCCGCGTAGTTACCGTAGCCCTAGCCATTGTAGTTATAGGCTTATAGCACACGATATGTATAAAGCAAAATGTTTAATAAAGACATGAGAACTTGGTTTTATAATTTTATTTATGAAAAATTAATGATTTTGTTTCTTTTAATAAAAATTTGACAATTATTTACATAAAATGAGACAGTTGTTTATATAAAGCATCGATTTTAGCTTTTAATTTTCAAAACAAATACATATTAAAGGCTAAATAATGATAAGGTTATGATTTTTCAACGTAAGAATATTATCTATGTCTATTCCTCTAAATTGACATAAAGTATTATTTTGTTGTAATTTGATTGTATTATTTTTATTCTATCTACATAAAATATATCATGTATTGAAATAATGTTTCTTTTTTAACTTCCATATAGATTTTTTGCAAATAATTAATTATATGCAACTTCTTATTAAGGTTTTAATCTTAATCTTAGAAAAACCCTATATTAGAGAAAATATAATACGATTACATCACGATGAAACAACCCATATAGGGAAAAATATATGATGTAAGACTACAGTTAAACTAGACAATTACATAAAGATAATATATTTTTATCAGAAAAGAGAGTACATTAATACTATAATAAGATAGTATCATCGCTAAATAGAGAAAACATAACAAGATAATATATATATAAAAGAATAACACGTATTAGCGACGACATACAACTTTCGTGTTGTATGTTGCCGCTAATACGTGTTAACCTTCGATTCGTGTCAATACGTCATATTAAACCCGCACCGTCTATTTTGTTCCCAATCCAACGGTTGATAGATGAAGTCGTGCGACGCCCTTCGCTGCTGACGCTCGAAAAAAATACTGCGAGGTTTCCCTTTATAATATGTCGCTACTGATAGCCACGTGTCGCATCGAATGTCTCCATGTTGCCGCTAATACGTTGACGGGATATACACAACGAAACTGATCTTTTCATCTTATGCCTTCACTTGATTTTTGTCGATTCCCAACGATTCCACCACTGATTTGCCACCGATTTACGACTTCTCTCCGTTTACTTTGTCGGATTTTACTCCCATTTTCTCTATTCCATCGAGGGCCACCTTTGCCAGCGACGAAAAGTGTAATACCGACAACAATAGGTACAATTTCTTCTCCTTTTGGCTCGATTTCACTTTCTTTTTGTCGATTCTCAGTAATTTTGTTGTTTTCTGCTTGAATTTTAGTATTTGCTGGATTTGGTTGATTTCTGATGGAACTGGCCGGAATTTTTCCCGAATACCACCACCACCACCCTTCTCCACAGGGTTTTGTTTTTCTGTTTTTAATATATGTATAATACGTTGATTTTTGTATGTGTTCTTGGAATTTGGATGTGTATTATTTATGTATGTTAATGACTTTGGGTATATATGATACGTAGGTAATGTGTGTCTGTGTGTGTGTGTGTGTATATATATATATATATATATATATATATATATATATATATATATATATATATATATATATATATATATATGACGGGCTTTTTTAGAAAGTACAATGCCTACAATGGAAAAATGAAAAAAAAAAGTAGGATGTTATAATAAATATGTAATATGTGTAGGATGCATGTTTAAGTGTATTTGTTTATATTGTAATGTTTATGATGTATGGAAAAAATGTGTGTATAATGAATATATGTATGGAAAAAGTTAGTTATAGTATCAAATTTTATCTTATTATAGCATTGTACTTTACAATATTTTTGGAAAGAACAATGCTATAATTGAAAAAAAAATGAAAAAAAAAAAAAGTCTGTGTATTTGTATGCAACTTGGAAAGTATAATGTTATAATGAAAAAAAGTTGAAAAAATAGTTTGTTCTTTACAAACTATTTATTTATTATAGCATCGTACTTTCCAAATTATATATAAATACACAAACTTTTTTTTTTTCATTTTTTTTCAGTTATTGAATTGTACTTTCCAAAAATATTGTAAAGTACAATGTTATAATAAGATCAAATATGATACTCTAACTAACTTTTATT